AATCAGGACATGTTGTGTTGAGCCGCTCAGAAGCTTTCTGTGTTCTGATGTTAAGAAGAAGATGTGTTTCATCTGAGATACGACTCAGAATAAGATGATCTGACTCAACAAGATCATGCATTCTCTAAAAACAAGAGCTGATGTCTCTCTGCAGAGTTACTTCTGAAGTTATCATGTCTTATATCAGGAGTACAGACATATTCTGACTAGATATTAGACACAGATACTGGGCAAGATTTAGACTTTTTGTAGTGTGTCTCTGTTGTTGTAGATGTCCCGCCCCCTTAGCCTATCACCTACAATGTGTTGGAGCCAATAGAAGCGCGATTGTGACGTTGTGATGTCACTATGTTGACCATTGACATGCACTAACACCTATACAGAGATGGCAAAAGTACACATCCTTTACTCAAGTAGAAGTACAGATACTCGTGTTTAAAAATACTCTGGTGAAAGTAGAAGTACTGACTAAACTTCTTTACTCAAGTGAAAGTAAAGAGGGCTTTGAAATGTACTTCAGTAAAAAGTACCCATAACTAGCAGCTGTTTTAAAGAGTACCTGACCTCCCTTTATATTAATAGAACAATAATGTCATTGTTAGCTAATGAATGTTTCCATGCTGAACAACGGCAACATGACAACGTTTTCATTGGTCCCTCTTCTTTAGAGAAGACCAGGAAATGATGGATACACGGATTGTGTTCAAATCAATAGGCACGCAATGACTCTAAATAATAATGATCACGCCACCAAACACACATTCAAACTAAAGGAACCAGCCTGTTTGGGAAATGTGAGAAGTAGAAAGTACAGGTATTTGTGTTCAACATGTAAGAAGTAGAAAGTACAGGTATTTGTGTTCAACATGTAAGAAGTAGAAAGTACAGGTATTTGAGTTCAACATGTAAGAAGTAGAAAGTACAGGTATTTGTGTTCAACATGTTAGAAGTAGAAAGTACAGGTATTTGTGTTCAACATGTAAGAAGTAGAAAGTACAGGTATTTGTGTTCAACATGTTAGAAGTAGAAAGTACAGGTATTTGTGTTCAACATGTAAGAAGTAGAAAGTACAGGTATTTGTGTTCAACATGTAAGAAGTAGAAAGTACAGGTATTTGAGTTCAACATGTAAGAAGTAGAAAGTACAGGTATTTGTGTTCAACATGTAAGAAGTAGAAAGTACAGGTATTTGTGTTCAACATGTAAGAAGTAGAAAGTACAGGTATTTGTGTTCAACATGTAAGAAGTAGAAAGTACAGGTATTTGTGTTCAACATGTAAGAAGTAGAAAGTACAGGTATTTGGGTTCAACATGTAAGAAGTAGAAAGTACAGGTATTTGTGTTCAACATGTAAGAAGTAGAAAGTACAGGTATTTGTGTTCAACATGTAAGAAGTAGAAAGTACAGGTATTTGAGTTCAACATGTAAGAAGTAGAAAGTACAGGTATTTGTGTTCAAAATGTAAGAAGTAGAAAGTACAGGTATTTGGGTTCAACATGTAAGAAGTAGAAAGTACAGGTATTTGTGTTCAACATGTAAGAAGTAGAAAGTACAGGTATTTGGGTTCAACATGTAAGAAGTAGAAAGTACAGGTATTTGGGTTCAACATGTAAGAAGTAGAAAGTACAGGTATTTGGGTTCAACATGTAAGAAGTAGAAAGTACAGGTATTTGGGTTCAACATGTAAGAAGTAGAAAGTACAGGTATTTGAGTTCAACATGTAAGAAGTAGAAAGTACAGGTATTTATGGAGGAAGATATAGGCCAAATGTTTGGGGATGTGAAAGAAAAAAAAGTCAGAATTCAAACTTTTTTCTCCCCAAAAATATTTATCGTTAGTTTTTCAGACTTTTTTCACAAAATTCTGACTTTTTTCTCAGAACTAAAAACATCCCCAACATTTTTTTTCATGTGACCCTAATCCTCTTCCATAGTTATTTGTGTTAGAAATGTAAGAACTAAAGTAAAAAGTCGTCAGGAAAATAAGTAGTGGAGTAAAGTACTGATACCAGAAACATGTACTTGTACAGTAACACACACCTATAGAAAGAAGAACAGGGCCTCTTTAAATCCCGTCTCTGTTCCCAAAGCTCCGTGCAGGTGGAAAGGTTACCTGCTCCCTGAGGAGAGGAGAACCACAGCGTTGTTTCACTAAGTTAATGTTCCTAAAGAGTTACACCCTCATCAGGTTTCTCTCATCAACTCATATCACTGTCTGCTGCTCACATCTGAGGCTTTGATACGGTGGCCGACAGGTGCATTCACATCGTCTCAAGTCTCCTCATCAGGAGAAGCAGCTTCAGAAAGGAGTCAGATATAGAAACCAAATGTTCCTCATGAAGAAACATCTTCAGCAAAAACACATGCAGCGTTTAGAGAACATTCAGCAACTTGAGGAGACATGGCAGCTGGAGACCAGGGGACACTAAAGAGTGACGCACACAGCTGGGAGACCAGGGGACACTAAAGAGTGACGCACACAGCTGGAGACCAGGGGACACTAAAGAGTGAC